TGTGTCACTTAATTCTGTTCTGATCTTGGTTATTTCCTTCCTTCTACTTGCTCTGACCTTTGTTGTTGTCCCTCTAGTTTTTGCAGGCACAGGGTTAGGTCGTTTATTTGAAATGTTTCTATCTCCTTTAGGTAGGCCTATCTCACTACAAACTTCCTTCTCAGGAGTGTCTTTGCTGTGTCCCATAGGTTTTGGACTGTCGTGTGTGCATTTTCATTTGTTTCCAGAAAGATTTTAATTTCTTCCTTGATCTCATTGTTGACGCATTCATTATTTAATAGCATGCTATTCAATTTCCACAAATTTGAATGTTTTTGAGCTTTTCCCTTGGGGTTGGTTTCTAGTTTCAGGCCCTCGTGATCTGAGAAAATACTTTCTATGATTTCAATTTTCTTAAATCTCTTGAGGCTTGTTTTATGTCCTATCATGTGTTCTGTCTTTGAAAATGTTCCATGTGCATTTGAAAAGAATGTGTATTTAGCTTCTTTGGGGTGAAGGGTTCTATATATATATATCAGTTAAATCCATTTATCTAGGGCATTGTTCAGTGCCACAGTATCTTTATTGATATTTTGTTTGGAAGATCTGTCCATTGTTGACAGGTGTTAAAATCCGCTACTATAAATGTGTTGCTGTTTGTATCTTTCTTGAAGTTCTTCAAGATTTTTTTTATATTTTTGGGTGTTCCTACATTGGGTGTATATATGTTTATAATGTTTGGATATGTTTATAATGATAGGTCTTGATGGAGTCTTCCCTTGAATATTATGAAGTGAGCTTCTGTGTCTCTTTTTATGCCCTTTGTTTTGAAGTCTATTTTGTCTGATATAAGTATTGATGCTCCAGCTTTTTTTTCTGGCCATTTGCTTGGAATATTTTTTTTCAATACTTTGCTTTTAGTCTGTGTAGGTCTTTTGTTCTGAGGTGGATCTCCTGTAGGCAGCATATGTGTGAGTCATGCTTTCTTATCCCTTCAGCTACCCTAAGTCTTTTGACTGGAGCATTTAATCCATTTACATTTAAGGTTATTTTGATAGGTACTTGTTCATTTTTCCCCTTTTTGTATGTGTTCCTCAGTCTCCCTTACTCTTTTTCTTCCTCTTCTTAAAACAGTCCCTTTAGCATCTGTTGCAGTGCTGGTTTGGTGGAGGTGTACTCTTTCAGCTTTCTTTTGTCTGGGAAACTGCTTATATTGCCTAACATTTTGATTGAGAGCCTTGCTGGGTAGAGGAGCCTTGCTTGCAGGCCTTTGCTTTTCATTACTTGGAATATTTTTTGTCATTCCCTTCTGGCTTGTAGTGTTTCTGTTAAGAAATCACCTGCTAGCCTTATAAGAGCTCCCTTATATGTTACTTCCTGTTTCTTCCTTGGTGCCTTTAAGATTCTCTCTTTGTCTTTAAAATTTGGCATTAATTATGATGTGTCTTGCAGTGGGCCTCTTTGGGTTCATCCTAACTGGGACCCTCTATGCTTTCTGAATTTGCATGGTTTTTACCCTCACCAGGTTAGGGAAGTTTTCTGTCCATGTTTTTTCAAACAGGTTTTCTATACCTTGCTCCTTTTCATCTCCTTCTTGTATTCCTATGATTTGGGTGTTGTTGTGTTTCATGTTGCCTTGCAGTTCCCTTAAGCTGTCTTCACATTTTTTTAGTCTTTTTCTATGTAGCTCCTCTACCTGAGTATTTCTTTCTACCTTGTCTTCTAGCTCACTAATTCAGTCATCTGCTTCATCCAGCCTGATTGTAATTCCTTCAGATACTGTGTTCTTCATTTCTTCCTGGTTCTTGTTTATCATTTGTATTTCCTTTTTCATGCTGTTGTAATTCCTACTCAGTTCCCTATAGTTGTCACTGAGTTCCTCGTGCATTCTTATAACCATCCTTTTGACTTCTATATCTGATAGTTTGCTTGCCTCGATTTCTTTTATCTCTCCTACTAGCGAGTCTTCTTTTTGCTTGCAGTTTCATTCTTTGTCTTCCCAGTTTAGGTGACTCTTTTTGTTTCTGCAGTTCTCAATGCTCTGCTTTGCCAGCTATCTTCTTGGAGTGAACTTCTGTGGTAGGTGTTCTGTGGGACTCATTTATGTGGTCTCTCTCTCCTTGTCTGGATGCTCTAGGGCTGCCCTTTCTTCCATTTGTGTGGGCTCTCTTGTTGGGCTTTACCTGCGGGTGTCTCATTTGTTGATGGGTTCTCCCCTGAAGTGGGTTTACTGGTAGTTGTAACTCCCACCTTGTCTAGTATGCTGTTGTACAGGTGTTGGTTAACAAAGCAGTATTATCTGACAACCAAACCTATGCCAGCTAAAAAGAACTCCCCTTAACCATAGTTGAATTAAGATTAATAAAGGTGAGGAGCAACTGCAGACATTGTAAGATATGTCATAGGGAATATGAGGTGACAAAGAGATGGCAAAATGTTATCACATGGTAAGAGGGAGGAAAATTGATTAAGAGTTGGGATAGAACTGAGGTGAAGAAAGGGAAAGAACAAAATTTAAAATATAAGTAAAACACGAAAGGGCAATGGGAACAAGGAGGTAAGAAGAGAGAAGAGTATACTATGCAGTTTGAAATAAAATTGAAGGGGCACTGGATCAACAGGAGCAAAATTGCAGAAAAACCACAGCAGGATCGATAGCAATGACAACTGAATGGAGTTTAAGAAAGATGGAATGGGAATGAGAATATTGTAGAAAGGCAAAAAGTGAGTATGTCTACAGTAAAGAAAGATGATTTTGAGAGGATAGGGGAAGCAGACTAATGAGAGTAAGCAAAGCAGTAAAGCCAAGGTTGAGAGAGGGTGGGGGGAAGGAGAGAGAACAATGTAATAAAATTCCTCCCTCAACTGGTCAGGGCAGAGGGAGGGCAAAATGGAATAAGACAGTGGGAAAGCATTCTATGGGATATGAAATACAAATAAGTAGTGAAGAAATGGGAGTTCCTTTGGAGATGAACAGTGATAGCCATGGTATTTCACCCATCTAGCCACTGTTTATAAAAGGCGGAAAAGAAATAAGACTTATTAGAGGGAAAAAGAATGTGAGCTGACTTTAGAATGCAGAGCATTTATGCAAGGTTAGATGGAAGAGAAAGAGTGAGAGTAAGGCATGGAGACTTGGCATAGTGCGAGGGAAACTAAATTTAACCACAGCAGTAATAAAGCTCAGGAAGATGATGAAATGGATTAAGTCCAGGGTAGGGTGCTATGTGGGCTTTGGAATAACAACAATATGAAAAATATATATAATCTGAATAAAAAGAATAAAAGGTAAAATACCAAGAGTAGTATGTTATTTAGAATACTAGTGAAGGGAGAAATTAAAATGCAATATGAAAGGGAGAATAAAAAAACAATAAAAACACAAAAAACTGAATAAATGGAAAGAAGAGAGAGAAATGCTATTTAAAAACATACAAGTTCTGATGAGGAGCAAAGAGCAATTTATCTCAGCTGTTGGTGTTCATTTTCTGACATCTTTCTCCTTCTGTCTCTGGTTTTCTCTCAGCTCCAGGTCTTACTGTCCTACTCTTGAGAAAAAGAAAAAAAAAGCCTGCCTAGCAGGTCTTGCAGTTCATGCCAGATACTTTCTCTGCTCTCTTTACGTTCTGTGTGCTCACAGGTCCTGCTCTCAGGTTAAAGTCCAAGTTTGCACTCGTTTTCAAGCTCCTGCGGGCACAGGCATGTTTTACTCCTTTCTGTTTCCTGAGCACCTGACACATGACAAGTGCTCGGTTAATATTATTTGCATTTGCTGCACTGAGCTGAAGAACTTGGTTGTCAAGCTGTACGTAGAGCCTGCACAGAGCAGGGATTCAGTGAAGGTTTGCTTTGGTTGCTAATCTGAGAATGTGAGTAATTTGCTAAGTAGGAGGTTTTACTACCTTCTGATCCAGGAGGTTGAGGAATGTTGCACAAATTCAGTCCTGTTACTTCCTTAAACAAATACGGTGGCCTTGAAAGCAGGCTAAAAAGAATTAGTTATGAGTTTGGTTTTAGATTAATTTTATGTCACCTTATATGAATTCAGTAAAATATCCAAGGTGAAACCTTCTGGGCAGGGCTTCTCCCCATGATCCTATGGGTCATGATGAAAGGGGCCCCTTACCTGGATTCTCTCACAGCTTTTCTCAGGCCTTACACCGGGTTTCCCTCCTCATTACGAGGTTCGCACTGGTCCATTTTCAGCCCCAGTCTGGGAACACAGCACTTCACACTAACTGGAGACCCATTTAAAACCATGAACCTGGTAATGTTCCCTGTGCTGCTCTCAAGTTCATCTTAGATTTGATTGGCTAGAAAGCTTCTGTGAGGACATTGAATATCATTTATAAGACATTTTTACGGTATTTTAAAATACTCTATACTGAGTGTAGTGGGACTGATGCTGGGATTGGAGCAGCTTGTTCCTATCTTCATGGAACAAGCTGCTCCAAGTGGTGGGCTCAGTGGTGGGCTGAGAGTGGGTTTGGCTGCCATCCCAGGATATAGCTGCCATATCCCACTGTGCAGGTCTCTTATTCCAGCTCAGGTGTGTGATCTTCAGCAAACACTGTACCTTCTCTGAGCCTCTCTGACTTGGAGCCTGTTCACCCCTCATGCTCTGCTGGCCCCTGTTGCCCACTAGTGCTATGTTAGGCCTAGAGATGACCATGAATAAGGATGGACCGTGAATAAGGCATAGTCCTGCCCGGAGATGGGGCATAGGTGTGACATCTCCCTGCCTACTTCACAGGCCTACAGTGGAAGCCCTTGGTGGACTAACCAGCTATTTAAATGCAACATGTTGGTGCTTCAATTGCTAGAGTTATTAGGTCCAGGGGACCAGAAAGTCATGTGTCTATGTGTGGTTTTCTTATTTAAAATGGGAAGACTAATGAGAATATAGCAGCCCACTTTCTCCGCACAATGCCAAAGCTTGGTCACAATTGTCCCCTGCCCTAAATCACTTCTGGGCGCTGGTGTTGGGCTCCATGCACTCAGTGGGCCCTGCTGTCTTGCAGATGTGTCACGCAGCCACCAGTGCCTTCTGCCGATCCATTAAGCTACAGTGTGAGCTCTACCCCTCTAGAGAAGTGGCCATCTGCTTGGACCCTTACTGTGGACTTGGGTTTGTTCTGTGGTGCCTCTGCAGGTGAGTTTCCCTTTAATGCCTTTAACATGATAAGTAAATCATACATGATTTCTTACAATTGATCCCTGTTCTGCCGCATTTTTCAGCCAGGCTCTCAGGGTGGAGTGAGTTCCACATTCTGGGGTGTCTGACAAAATTAGCCTCCATGAAGTTTACTGAAAGACAGAGATGATGGCTGGGTTCTTCTACTCTAAAATCCTAGCAGTTACCCCTGGCCTGGAATTCGTATTATATCAGAGGGTGTTGCAGGTGCTCTCCTCCTTCAACCTTCTCCCTAATGCAGGTGGGGGGGGACTGCAGCTGAGGTAGGGAGGCAGCTGACCTCCCCTCCAGGGTCCAGTGCTCCTCAGCCATCAGTCCTCCGAGCCCAGCTTGTAACAGGTATTTATGGAGAAGGTGAACATGGAGATTATTTTTTCAGGTTGTACATTTATGTTTATTGCAGAAACTTTAGAAAATGCAAAATATAAAGAAAATAAAACCATCAATAATTATACCACCTAATGATACAAAGAAATATTCACTATTGGCATGTGGCATATAGCCTTTCAGAGTTTACTTTCTAATGCAGTGTAGTATCTATTATTATTAACATACCAAGGTCTGTCCAGAAAAAGTCCGGCCATTGTTGTTATAACAAATCTCTTTGCATTATATTGATGTAACTTGCAGCCAAAGAGTGGACTGGAATTTGCATGTGTAGACAATGATGACTTCACTGTACCAGTCAGTGGGGATGGTAGACAACATTGAGTGAGCATGTGTACTGTGTGGCTATTGCATTCAAAATGAGCAAGTACAGCATCAAATCTGCATCAGATTTTGCATTAAGCTTAAACATTCCTCTGTGGAAACTATTCAAATGATTCAGGAGGCCACATCTGTGGACAACTGGTGATGGGTACCTTCATCACAACCATATGCCCACTCATGCATCACATCTCATACAGTTTTTTGGCTAAACATCAAATCACCCAGGTGACTCAGCCCCTCTACAGCCCAGATTTCACACCCTGTGACTTCTGGCTTTTCCCAAAACTAAAATCACCTTTGAAAGGGAAGAGATTTCAGACCCTCAGTGAGACTCAGGAAAATACAATGGGGCAGCTGATAGCAATTGAGAGAACTGTGTGAGGTCCCAAGGTGCCTACTATGAAAGGGACTGAGGCGTCATTGTCCTATGTACAATGTATCTTGTATCTTGTGTCTTCTTCAGTAAAAGTCTCTACTTTTCATATTACATGGCTGGAAACCTTCTGGACAGACCTCATATGTAATTGTGCACAAAGATGCTCCAATAAACATGAGCGCCCACCACCCAGTTTCACATGGATCATCCTGTCACCAATTTTATTTCATCCATGTTCCCATTTTTCCTATCCCTTTTTATATAGGACATTTTAAAGCAAACACCTCAACGACATATGATTTCACCATAAACCTTTAAATTACATATAATTTTATAAGTGTACATCAATATATTTATAAAACTGAGGTGTTACAGTATAAAATTGGTCATAATTTCCCTTTTTTCTTCATAATCTATAGTAGACTTTTTTCTCATGTTTTTAAACATTTTTCTAGAACAATGATCTCAATGCCTTCAGAATATTTAATAGTATTAGATTGGATTAAAATATAGTTCCTGTATTTTTTTAAAACACTGACATTCTAATTAGTACAATAAAACGTTTTGCGAGAGCACATAGAATTGAACCCTAGAGTGTATTTTAATGATTTGTGCCTCCATCTAAAATGCAACAGCATCATGGGTAGCTTTTTCTTGGGAAATAGTTCAGACTATACCATCCCAACAATAGGGCCAAAGAGACCTTAGACATATTTGGCCAACTGAGTAGGAAGCCTGTCCCAAACTACTGACCTTTTAGGACAGCTGTCTGTGCTACGGACAAGCTGAAGCGCCTGAGTAAAGGGCTTCCTGGTTCTGCAGGGTCATCAAGCCTAAGCCCCACTCAGGCAACAGAGAAGGTGCTGTTGAAGGGAAAGTGAGTTTTTGATGTGCATCACCTATAGCAGGAGAGGGATGGGTTGGGGTCTCCAAAGGAATTGTGTGGAGAAGGTTGCAACCAAACTTTACTTAATGTCTTTCCTGAAGATTCATTCAGAAGTCTGGAAATCAGTGTTCTTGATTGACCCTGCAATGTTAAATATAAATGCCTAATAGCTGTGAACCTCTTCATTCTGAAATCCTTTGTAGAAACAGATCCCAATAGACTTGCTTTAAAAACTAGACCTGAAGCTCTGGCTGGTGTAGCTCAATGGATTTAGTGCAGGCTGCGAACCAAAGTATCGCTGGTTCAATTCCCAGTCAGGACACATGTCTGGGTTACAGGCCAAGTCCCCACTTGGGGGCACATGAGAGGCAACCACACATTGATGTTTCTCTGCTTCCCTTCCTCTCTCTCTAAAATATAAATTTAAAAAATCTTAAAAAAATACTGGACCTGCGAGTAGCCACCCAGTAGCAGTGAGAATGTCCAGCATCCATAAGTTGTAATTACCGTTTTCCTCTCAAACGAGCCAGGACTACTTTGAGAAAAGGCTGATTTCAGGCTGGGATGGGAAATGTACGAGATGACCCTGAATGTGTGAGAAACAAGGCAGTGCCCACAGAATGAGGAAGGGCATGCCAACAGGACCAATGAGCCAGCTTACAGGGACTCCCACTGGCCAAATCGGGGCAATCAGAGCATCCAAGTAAGGATTGTAAGAGATTATAACACTGTGAATGAAATGGGAAATTATCCAACCATTCACATATAAGTAGATGACAAATTGAAAGCCCAGTGAGTAACAAGGACTTACATGGTAGCCATCCACCAAATAGTTGTTAATGATAAAGGAGAGGAGAGAACCTTCACAGTGGAGAAGCCTGAACCAAGAGACCAAAGTGAAGCTCGTCAACAGTGAGACAAGGGGCCCTTGAGTGTCACTGGGAGGGGTGCAGTGAGGGACACTGCGTCAAAGCTGCTTCACCTCAATCTAATCACGGGGACATTGGACACTCAAACTGAGGGGCACACGACAGCACAGTGGCCTGTCATCTTCATGAATGCCATTGTCATAGTGTCGGGGAAGCTCTGAAGGCTCCATCTGGACAGAGTCGACAGCTTAAATGCAGGGTGAGACTCTGAACTGGACCCTTCACAGTCAGATATCACTGGGACAACTGGCAGAACTGGCAGAACCTGAACAGGGTCTGATGGAACTTGAATAGGGTTAATGGAAGAAATGTATCAATTAGTGTCCTGATTTGATGCCTTAATTGGCTTGTGGAGGAAAATATACTTGTTTGTTGGAAATATCACCAAACTTTAGGGCCTAAAGTATTTGAGGTTTTTGGGATGTGAGGTCAGTGACTCACCCTCCAATGATTCAGAGAGAAAAAGTTATATGGCTTTTCTTGCAACTTTCCTTTAACTTTGTAATTGTTTCAGAGTTCTTTTTTTATTGGATACAAAGTTTTTTGTATATCTTTAACTTAAAGTTTCCTTCAGTCATAAAGTAGGTTATTTATCTGAAAATAATTGACATGATAGAATTGTTTGAAAATATTTGGTAAGATCATACATGTCTTTAAAAGCATGTCAGAGAATTGATACTCCCTGATAAGAAGATTCAATATTGTTAAAACGGAAATTCTCCACAAATTGGTCTAAAGATTCAGTGTAACCCCTGTGAAAAATCTCAGCAGGATTTGGTTGTTTGGGGATATTCAGTTGCTGTTGTTGTTTTTTAAAATTTTATTTATTTACTTTTGGAGAAAGGAGGGAGAAAGGTAGAGAGAAAAACATCAATGTGAGAGAGATTCAGTTGCCTCTCCAACACCCCCAACTGGGGACCTGGCCCACAAGCCAGGCACGTGTCCTAGACTGGGAATTGAACCTGTGACCTTTTGGTTCTCAGGCTGGTGCTCTTTTGTTTCAGTTGCTAAAATTACCAACATGATTCTAAAATACAAATAAAGGACCCACCATATACCCAAAACAATCTTGGGGTAGAATAATGAAGTTGGAAGACTCAGACTTCCCAATTTCAACACTTGCTATTATAACCAAGACGATGTGGTACTAGCATAAAGATATAACATACATATGGAGGTAGATACATAAAATAATCAGTTAAACAGACTTGAAAGTCCAGAAAACAAACCCTTATATGTGTGGTCACTTGATTTTTCAACAAAGGGGGAACCAAGGCAACTCAATGGTGAAAGGATAGTCTTTTCAACAAATGATGCCGGGCAAAAGGAGCATCCACCTGTGAAAAAGATTAAACTTCTACCTAACTTCATATACATAAATCAACTCATAGTGAATCATATACCTAATGTTAGAGCAAAGGCTATAAAATATTTATTAAAAAGCATAGAAATAAATGTAATATTAGGTCAGGGAAAGGGTTCTTAGGTATGACATCAAAGGTACGATACATAAAGGAAATACTGATAAATTACACTCCAACAAAATTTAAAACTTTTGTGCATTAGAAGACACCATTAAGAAGTGAAAGACAAACCATAGACCAGAAAAAAATATTTGCAAATCATCTATCTGATAGTCTTTCTAATCAGACATAAAACAAACTCCTAAAACTCATAGACAAGTGAAATATTTAAAAAATGGGCAACAGATTCGAACAGACATTTCACCAAAATAGACATATGACCAATAAGCACATGATAATATGCTTAACAGTTATTACAGAAATGCAAATTAAACCCAGTGAGCTACCACATCACCAATAGAACAGTTATAACCTAAAGACAGAAAATGAAGTGGGAGGCTTGTATTTCCTGATTTCAAAACTATAATGTGCTGTTAAGCAAAGGTAACCAAGGACGTACGGAAATAGGATTCTCATACACCATTGATAGGAATGGAAAATGATGAAACCACAGTTCTCATGTTCTTAAAAATTAAACATAAATGTACCATGTGACCCAGCAATTCCACTCCTAGGCATCTACCAAAGAGAAAGGGCAACATGTCCACACAAAGACTCGATGCTTGAAGCATTCTCAGCAGCCTTTGTTTAAAGGGAAAAAATAAGGAAATAATCCAAATGTCCACTGACTGGTGGGCAGTGTGTAAACAGTATTTGTCGTATGAATAAACATTCATGCAACGGCATACAGCTGCCATGTGGGTAAACTTCACAAACACTGTGCTGAGTGAAAGAAGCCAGATCCCAAAGGCCACGCATCCTATAACTGCATCACGGTGCCGTTAGTGGGAAATGTTCAGAGAAGGCAAACCTGGAGACAGGAGAATGATGATGACTGTGGCAAGGGCTGGCGACAGGATCAACTACAAATGGACACAGGCCTACCCTTAGGGTTATGGAATGTTCTAGAACTGCATTGTGGTGATGATTATACAACTCTGCAATCTACTAAAGTTTATTTAGCTCTATGCTTAAAATGGGTAGGTTTCATGCTATGCAGCCCAGTATTGAATTGACTGAGTGCACATTACAGGCACTAGCCTGTCAGTGAAGGAGGCTCACCCGTGTGACACAGGGCGGTGTGTGTCCAAGTGAGCCAAGTGGCTGCCTTGCTCACAGCTGCCAGGTTGTGATGGTTTTCAGTTGTTTGTGTATTTTGTCAGGTCAATAACCTGAAATTACTCAAATACAAATGTGCAAACTTATATTAGTTACCGATATATCTTTTGTTCTCTCGTGGTCAGTCATGTTTTTATTTTTATTTTCTTAAATAGACTTTATTTTTTAGAGCAGTTTTAGGTAGGTTCACAGCAAAATTGAGTGTAAGGTACAAATACACTTTCTGTATCCCCTGGGCCCACACACGCACAGCCTCTTCCACTATCAGCATCTCCCACCAGATGGTACATGTTCTGTGGTCTAGGAACCTATGTTGACACGTCATCACCACCCAGAGCCCAAACTTTGCATTAGGGCCCATTATTTGTGTCTTTATAGCACTCCTGGTGCTGTAGAGACCAGAAATAGACCCATCTAAATATCATCAACCAGTCTTTAACACAGGAGCAAGGCAATACAGTAGAACAAGGGGTGTCTCTTCATCAAATGGTGCTGGGGCAACTGGATACTTACATGCAGAAGAGAAAAAAAAGAATCTACACCCAGAACTCACAGCCTTCACAAGAATTACCTCAAAATGGATCGGAGGCCTAAATGTGAAAAGTAAAACTATAAAACTCCTAAAAAATAACACAGGAGAAAACTTAGATGACCTGGAGTTTGGTGATGACTTTTTAGATATGACACCAAAGATGCAATCCATGAAGGAAAAAATTGAGAGGCTGGGTTTTATTAAAATTAACAGTTTCTGCTCTGCAAAAAACAGTCAAGAGAATGAAAATGCAGGCCACAGACAGGGAGAAATACCCCCAAAGTGTCTTCTTAATCATTTTGTTCTTTTTGAAGTTAAAGTCTACACTAGAATAGTAGGTTCCAGAAATTCTCAAAAAATAATCGTAATACATTACCAGCAACCTGCATTTAAGTGGGTTTGTTTTGTCCATACAGGTATTCATAGCCGGTGCCAACAAATCAATATTGGTTAGTACATAAAACAATCAACACTTGTTGGACTGAGCAAGGAAAGAGCAAGTAGAAAACTCACGAATCAGGTTTTCGGCTTGTCCTGTGTTATCAGGATTTATTGGCTTCTGTGCTACTGATTTTCATAGCTCTGCTTAAAATTCCCGAGCCCTGAATTGTACAATGTGCTAGCCACCCTTCCATGTGCTCATGCTTCTGATCAAATCACTCCTCCTGATATGTATTCTTGGGAAAGGTAGTAGGTGATTTGTATTTAGTTCTCTTCATTTTGGATCTCCTTTCATGCTACAGCATTTATGAAGTAAGACGCTGGGAACAAGACATAAATGCTAGATTGTTACATTAAGAGGAATGTCATCATAAGGTTTCTCCTACATCTTAGTTCCCTATGAGACAAGGCTCAAGGGCCATCAGACGTGTTTGGTACCAGCACTGAAATGCAAAAGTCCTTGGTGCGAGCTGTGCAGATCTGAGCCACCATAAAAATCATACAGGGTAATCTAAGGTGGTAGTGTTAACCCTGCTTCACAAATGGGTTGAATGACATTTGGTGTTAACAGAAAACTGCCCCATCACCTTTCACAGAGGTAAGACTTGTGCTTCCTAGGGGGTAATTATGATTTATATGAAGTGTGATGTGTAGCCTTGTTAGATCTTAGGCCTGCACATTAGATCTTTGACTTGTACACAATCCTGCTTTGGGCCTGAGATTTTCTTTTAATATCCACTCAGCAGAGATAAGTTTCTGTTATTTTTGTTTCTGGACGTTTATCAGAAATAAAACCTTATGATGATATTCCTCTTAATATAACAACCTAGCATTTCCATATTATTCCTGCTTCATGCTTCCTTGAGGCTTCTAATTGGAGTTGACACATTAGCTACTAAGAACTGCTCTAATTCAGTCACACCAGATGTAGTGTGCAGGCTGATTCTTCAGCACAGTGTGACTGCAGCACAAGTGACAGAGAAGGACTGAAAGACGGCCCACCCACCGCAGCAAAACAGAATAGCAGCTTCCAACAGGATCAGTCATAGGAACTCCCTTCAGCTTGATGTCAGCATTCTCAGAGGCTGCCCACCTTGGGGAACAGGGTGGCAGCAGGAGCGAGGAGAGTGTTGTGTCCCTCACCTCTTCCAGCTCCTGCAAAAAAGACTGTAGGTCTCCAAAGATGGCCTGGGACCGCTGTGAGTATGAGGGGGCAGAATCTTTTGGTCCCTGGATATGTTGCTGGAGCTAAGGAGTTATTTGGCTTTGTTTTCAGATGCCACGTGTAAAATTCTTGGAAGGTTATTTTAAGAAAAATATGGAATGCCTCAAAAGTAAAATGTCGGCTTGTATCAGTATTTCGTGATGTAGATATATTTGTTGTGATGTTCCTTGACCTCTGAATACCTTTAATATAAAGTGATTTTGAATGACCTAAATTAATTTCCCAAAGACAAATCTCAGATAATTAAACCATTTGAAAAGATCACAGAAAAGGTCAAAGATTGCTCTTTCCTTTTGACAAAAATAAACGAAACTGGACTAGAGGAATAAGAGAAAAAAAGAGAACTCCCCACCCCACTCCACCCCCGGCATGCCCTGAAGAATAGTTTTTCTGCTGAGGGCCCTGTTGAAAGTAGATTTTGTGAGTGAACTTCATTTCCTCACATTTTTTAACCAGTTGGAGTCTATTGTAAACAATTGTGGAAATTTTAATGTGAGATTGGCTTCATTCCAGAAGATCTGGTTTTGGTATCATGGCGTAGTAGTTGAGGCTCACTGTGCTTTTCACCTACCTTCCAGATTGTTTGTACCTGGAAAATCCCTTTTTCTTCAATGTTAGATTATTAACTGAGGATACTTTATTATAATGCATGACATCTGTTAATGTTGATCTATCATCAGCAACCATTAAAAATGTAGTTTTGGCAAATACTCCATTATTTTAAAACCACACTTGCTCCACCAATTGATGACCAATCAAAATGTGTAACCTAGCATTTCCTTCATTTCTCTAAATGTGTTCTCTTATGTAAATGTGTTTTCCTTATTTCTCCTGTTTGGTGATTTGTTTGGATTATTCTGAAGCAAAATTTCAAACCTTAAAAATTGAGTGACAAACGTCATCTGTGTTCGTTTTCTTTCATTTGCTCTGGGTGTTGGCGTTCTAAACCAGAGGTAGGCATGCTTTCTCTCAAAGGGCCCTTCAGTAAATGTCTTGGGCTCTATGGTCTCTGTTGCACCCAGTTGGCCCTGCCTATTGGTGCAAAGCCACTGTGGACTGTGTTTAGACCAGCGAGTGGCTGAGTCTCAAATAACTTCATTCACAAAAACAGGCAGCATCTGTAGTTTGCTAACTGCCCTTCTACCACGTTTTACCAAAATTCGGTTCTGTGTTTCCTGCTGTGAAAGAGAACCCAGGTTGTTGTTTAGTACTGGCTTTGAGAGAAACCCCACAGCATCACAGCTTAGATGTTTCAGGTGAGTGCTCAACTTGGTGCTAACTCTCAGTCCTAATTTCTATAGTTCTTTCCTGTTTTTCACAGTGTTTTCATGAACACGCCTTCATTTTTTGCTCAAAGAAATCTAAGTGTAGCGTGGCTGTGACTGCCCCTCTCTTGCACATGGAGCACAGGCCTTTCTCAGGCACAGGTTGGATGCTCCTCTGCATCCTCACTGACCTCTCCATTTCTCTCTGCAGCGTCTACTCTGGGCACCAGTCTATTCTCATTCCGCCTTCTGAGCTGGAAACCAACCCTGCTTTGTGGCTTCTGGCCGTCAGTCAGTACAAAGTCCGGGATACATTTTGCTCCTATTCGGTGATGGAGCTTTGTACCAAGGGGCTAGGCTCGCAGACAGAATCCCTCAAGGTAAGCACCCCTTACCCCTCACGGTGCCTGCAGAACATTCCCAGTGTCCTGGGAAAGCAGTGTCCAAGGGCATGAAAAGGGTTTGGCGAAGTTAAAATAATAACGCTTCACAAATGTCAGGGCTTACAAAGCTGTTTTCATGTGAAAACCTCATTTTATAACATAAATATTTTGTCACTGCCCTAACCAAAGAGTACAAATGATGTTATTGATGTTTTGAATTCCATTAGGTCTACTTGAAGGGCCCTAAATTGCTTTTTTGTTACTTGGCGGATTCAGTTCTTCAGCACAGTTCATGTGATTCTGACACTGGTATTCAAGTCATAGGTTTGGATTTAGCTCCTATTTTTTGTTTACCTTGAGGACCCTGATTTGTAGGTCGTAAGCAATCCTAACCAAAATTCATTTTTACAGTTAAGTGAACAGTGGTGTTTATGACAATAATAGCATTTCCTTTCATGTAAACCAGGGACAACTAATAGACATATTTTCATGGTACATTAAGCAGTCTTTATCCAAGGAACAAGGAGGAAATAATCATATCACCTGTGTTCATTTCTGTTTACTGTTTCTGTGCCCAGATGTGTGGGTTGCCATGTATGTATCCAGACGGCCCTTGTATGTGTGTATGTGTATGCATGTGTGTGTATGCATGTGTATGCACACACACACACAGTAAAGCACTTGCCTCCCCTGAGTTGATAAAATGTTTTTTTATCAACTTAATGGATTAGAATTGAGCGGGCAAATGAAATACAAGATAAATTTGATATTAAGTTGCATAAATAAGTGTATAATTACTTGAAGTTATATATTTATGCAGGAAAAGAAATTTATAAAACATAATTATTACTCATGTTCACCTCTATTACATAATGAAATGAATGAGTGCATTTCATCAAATTTCCCTGTAGGGGCACAAATAACCAAAGTGAAATAATATCATAATTGAGTGATTTCTAAGCACTTTACATTTTGATTCATTTCACCTTCATAACAGCTCTCTAAAATAGAAACAATTACTGTTTTCATTTAAAAAAATGAAGAAATGTAAGTTACAGAGAAATTGAGCACCCTTTCCAGGTTCTTACTTTTTTTTTTTTTAAGATTTTATATATATATTTATCTTTAGAGGGGAAGGGAAGGAGAGAGGGAGAGAAATATCAATGTGTGGTTGCTTCTCTTGCGTCCCCTGCTGGGAACCGGCCTGCAACCCAGGCATGTGCCCTGACTGGGAATCAAACCACGATCCTCTGGTTTGCAGGCCCACACTCAATCCACTGAGCTACACCAGCCAGGACCCAGGTTCTTACATTTAATAAATTTGGGGGCTACATTTTGAATCTTTGGCTCCAGGTCCACCATCCCAAACCCTAGGCTACACTGTGTCCCAAAACATACACATGTATATCATTTGCTTTGCCCAGGATTTCATGTTCCCTGTGTGACTCTATGTATACAAAACCACGTTTATAGACTACATTTCAGTGTCAACATTCTGTGTGTGTGTTGCCCTCTTCAGTTCAGGAGCCTTGTCAGCTCTCCCTGTGCCAAGGCACCTTGCAGGTGCTTGAGGCACTGAAGGGGTTTGCGTGTGGCCATTGTCCTCCCTGAGACACCACCACTCAAGCTCAATTCACGTTCAGACGCAGCCACTACCTCTTAGCAGGTCCCAGCTCTTACTGCGGAGAGTGTGCAAACTCACCTGGTTGTTCCTCCTCTGAATTTTGTGGTTTTGCTCCATCAACTGAATTTGGTACAGACAGAGGTGTGTGGACCTTAGAAACAGAGATGCCCTTGATCATGAGCATTTCTCTCTGACCTGTGAAGTCCCATGGAACATAAAAGGCAAGCTGCTTTGTAAAAGTTCTCCAAACATTTTAGTTTTCCACTCCTACATTAAAAATAGGTTTTCCTATTTCTCTCCAGTTTCCGTGCATCCATGTCTGTAGTGGTCTTTTCAGGTGCTTCCTTTCTTCCCCAAACCCTGAACCTTATTTTGTACAGGGCCTGGCTTCTTTCTCCTCAACCTTTCTACTCCTCATTCTTGCTGTTGCTTCTTGCCATTATTTAAAATATATTTGTAGTAGCATCCCTGATGATGTTATCTGTGTGCTGGTTATATTTTTTACACAGACATTCTAGACTGTTTCAGTTAATGGTGCGGAGCCATTGGACCCTCGAAACGAAAGTCTGTGTGGAGTTTCTGCTGAGTGGGTGGGTCTGGTTAAGGAGGTCACACAGCTGAGCACTGGGAAGGCTGATCTCTTACTGCTGTCATTGTTTCTAGGCACGAGGACTGGACTTGTCCCGTGTGAGGACCTGTGTGGTGGTGGCAGAAGAACGGCCTCGAATAGCACTCACCCAGTCCTTCTCAAAACTCTTCAAAGACCTGGGCCTCCATCCGCGGGCTGTTAGCACCTCGTTTGGCTGTAGAGTGAACCTGGCCATTTGCTTGCAGGTGAGTTTTGTTGATGTCAGTCAACAGTGGTAGGGTGACAGTCACTGTTAATGAGAGGGGTGCAACACATACTCAAGTTCAAGCTACTTTTTTTGGCTGATGCTTAGCTACATATGGAAGATAATCTTTTAATTAAATGCAAGTAATGGGTACACCTGTCTTCCTTCCTCCTTTTCTTTTTTGTCTACATTTCTCAGTAACCATTATTCATAAATAGCATTGGTTGCACTTACTCTATTGGAACATTTTTGCTTTTGGAACATGTGTAGCCATTGTCCCAGCCCTCTGAAGTTGGGCTTTTTAAAATTAAACATGAGACAAGTGTTTCATTGTGGAAAAGATTTCTGTCCCTTGAAGGAGTTAGTCTTGTGTATGTAAATAGTAATTTCCGTAGGAAGAATTTCAAACATTGAGAAGGGTTGGCAGTTTAGAAACAACTGTTATAGTTTCATTTCTGTGGCATAGGTGTGAGGCCACAGTCCTAAGATAGTCTTGCTTAACCACGGCTAAAGAAATAGAGCTCTTCCTTTCTCCATATTAGCCCACTTCCAGGTATGGTCACTATTCCTTTCCTCATCTGGACTCCTCACATGAAGCCCAGGCTGTGGCCTTTGCTGTGCCAGGTCAGGGCCGCCTGAAACGAGGGAGAGGGGACCGTGTAGGAGTGTCCTCCCCACGGACCCTTCCCAGAACCTCACCCAGGACAAGCTCAGGGCAGAGTTTGCTCCTCGAATTTGTTAAAACAATAAAACTTGACTCCAGTTAACACAAGTTACTCCCAAACTCTGCTCTCTGCCCACTGCGTCTCCCCATTTAAGCTCCCAAAGATGGTTGCATACAATGAGTTCTTGTTCTCATTGAACATCTTCTCGTCATCTGTGAGATGGACAGTAAATATACAGATAATTATTTGAGTAAGTGTAAAATAGTTTAGGAAAAATAAACAGAGTGAGAGGGTAGAGAATGGCTTGGACATATGGGAGGCACTTTCAGGAAGGTGGCCAAGGAGGCCTCTCTAGGAGGTGAGTTTTAGCCCAGTGCCCTGAGGTGAACAAGGTGCGCAGTGTGGGCAAGTGCAGAGCCTTGGGGCTGGTAAGTGAAATGTTTGCTTCTGTTCATTTTTGCAAAAATTAAAAAAGTCTGTGGTGACGGTACCATACAAACAGAATGAGCACAGCCCAGGTCTGATGGCAGAAATCCCACATCTCCTGCTTACATAGGGCTGACTAATCCCCAACATTTTATCTACCCAGAAATAATCATCGCTAACCCCTGAGGTACAAAAAATAAATAAGCAGGAAAAGCTAAAACATTCCAGATCCTGTGCCTAAATACTTAAAGGCACTGAGAAACATATGCCGTTTTTCCTTCAGAGCATCGCAGTTACCGACGTATGTGACGTCAGTGAGCGGGCAGCTCTGCTGTTCTGACGACACAGTTTTCTTGGTCAGGCGGTCTGTCATCCTTATTCAACGGGGCTGCACTTCGGCTCTGAGCATTTAGAACCAAAAGTTCAAGTTGGAACTTCCTTCTGCAGTGGAGGCAGCCCTGTCAGAAGAGAAGTGTCTGTCCAAACGAGGAGTGGAGCTGTGTCCAAGTGATGCAGGGTTTCCCAGCCATGTTCTCAGGGGTGGTGTTTTGTGCAGTCTGTGGGTGTCTGCGGGTGTACCCCTGTCTAAAGGGTTCCTTGGTGTTTGGGAAAGGCTGAGTGAAACAACCGACATGATTTACTACTGCCTGAAAATGAAACATATACATGACAATTTAGAGTTATACAGTGATAAATAAGGGATTTGGGGGTTTGGCGGGGGTAGTTTGCGAGAACAGTCTTCATTTATGGCACCATGGACCTTTCACAGCCCAGCCTCAAGCTTCTCTCACCCACATTACCATCTGGTACGAAAGGACATCGTCTACCTTACAGTCTTTTGTGCTTTCAATTCCGAGCACCCTGACTCCCTCTGTCCTGGGTCTGAAATGGGCCCCCACCCATTTCACGTGGCAAAAATGGCTGCTTATTCCAGGTCTCGTTTCTAATCCCTCCAGTGGGAAGTGTTTCCTTCCTTTGACGTCCACTGGCCCTTTATCCCTCCCACTTTATACTTCCTAGCACATTTGATACATAGTTATATAACAGACTTCCATACCCTCTGGTCCATGAAAAACTGTCAGAGGACTCAGTGTCTCCCACGGTCATACAGTCACTTGTGAACATGAACTCATTTCGTGGATGTACTAAAAGCAGTTCCTGTACCCGTAGACACGGCTCATGAAGAGAAATGAGGCGTATTTGTCTGACTAGAGTCCAGCCTCCTGTGTGAAGTAAGTACATGGCAGCAGGGAATTTTCCCCAGAATGAGGCACAGTGTGATCTCCAGCCAATGAAAGCCCCCAGCATCACTCTGTAACCAAACTAGTGGGGTCCCACCGACTGCTGCCCACAGGCAATAACTCTGAAGAGAGAGTCCGCTGGAAAGGGAAGTGGAATTTTTATTTCCTTGTAAATGTACACCATTGCTTGATGCCCACCCCCCCTGCCAACACCGCCAGAGGAGTGAGCAGGCTGTTGGTGGCTGGCCACCAGAGCTTCACATGCAGGGGAGGGGCGCAGGGCTTGTTGTCCAGCCACGTTGCTTCCCAAGACCTACCTGCCCAAATCTCCTCTTCCCTCGCCCTGCAACCTTCTTTTTTACTGGGCTTGCTCTGAGCACCTGCAGTGCTCCTGGTCAGGCCCGAAGCCCTCAGGGAGGGGAGTGGAGACTGACCCTCCCCAACTGCACTAGGACATAGCCTACTGGCCTGCACTGGCATGAGCCATGGGCAGGTAGCCGGTAGCCACCATGGCTTTCTGCCTTGAAAGGGGTATGGGGCTTGCTGGCATTGGCCACTGGTAGGAGGCAGCTGCCACATCTTCCCCCGAGGGGGAGGGATGCGGGGTTTGCCGGCCCCAGCCTCCCCAAGCCCACTGGTCTGAGTCTCCTCCACTCCCCTCTTGCCAGAGCTCATTGCACTTTAAGCCTGCCCTGGAGCACTCAGGGAGGGGCCCTGGGAAATGTTCCCAGGCCACTCAGTCCCCAAGGCCTGGGGCCCAGGATCTCCCAGGCCCTGTCAGCTGGTAAGGAGGATAGAGAATCTAAGAGGCATTCCCACCCACTCTCCTTTTTAAAATCTCTCCCAGAATGCCCTGGGCAGTGGAAGCAGTTGAGATGGTATGTCCCTCTCATCCAATCACCTTCCTAGTTTTTGTTGCCACCTTGCATGCCTCTTTTTTTTTTCCTGTGTCATACATGTGTCATTCTGGTTGCTGGGGTGATGCACCCATGCTCTGTCTTTGGCACTTCTACATCCCTACCCATTTCTCGGGGCAGGGGGTGTTTGCCCCATTACAATTACCCCCTTTAACACTCTGGACACTTGTAATCTTACAAGGGCAGATCGACAAAGGTCTTGTTCTTTTGTAACTACTTCCTGCCAACCAAGACATGTAGTCCTACCTATCCTCTGGTCCATAGGTCCCTAACAAGGTAGGTCTGGATGGAGGGGAGCCTCCATGCGAGGCAGAAGGATCTTGCAAAGCCCAGGTCAGTTGGTTGTCCCTGAAAAGCAGCATGTGCAATGTCCAAAGGATGGCATTACTGGACAAGTTGGCATCCTTGTTGTGTTTTGGAAGTAGCAAATTTGGCAAGATTGTTAGAAGGCACAGTCAGACCCACAACAACTGAATGACAAAGGCAGGGACTAATTCTAGTGTCCCTGATTAAGAAAAAATGGCTTCCTTGGAGGAAGGTGTACAAGGCATGTCACCCCTGTCTGAAGCCTTACTGCCTACTGTACTCAGCTTAAATTAGCCTCAGGGGAATATCCTGAGATTCCTCCCTTTAACACTTCTACACCCTTTCTTCTGTCCAAACTGTTAAGGCAGAAAAGAGAGCCATTTTGAAGCAAAGCTGATAGGCTGCCCCATTCCTCACCAACTCAAATGTTTAGTCCAGCTAAACCACTGAGTCCCAGGAGGTGGTGATGCAGGTGGGCTTCTCAAGTGGGGCCTACATCGTCTCTGAGTCCACAAGACTGTCTTTTAGAAAACGCTCAGTTGCAAGGCCTTTGCTGGAATGATACTATGAAGTGACAATTTGATATCATCAGGTTAAACCAATTCAATTCTTAAGTAAAAACAAACTGAAGATAGTTGCACTAGAGCAGAGGTGTCAAACTCGTTATCGTTGAGGGCCACATCAGCCTCAGGGTTGCCTCCAAAGGGCTGAAGTAATTTTAGGACCATGTAAGTGTAACTTCCCCTTAACTGTTAAGGAGCTGAAATTACATTTGGCCCTTTGAAGGCAATCTAGAGGCTGATACGCCCCTGGTGAAAATGAGTTTGACACCCTGCACTAGAGTCTAACAATCACAACTGAGCATTTTGATTTCCCTTAAAACCTCATTTCTCTCCCTGTGATCACCCTTATTACCTCAAAAAGACTGCTAGTTATCAATTTTGCCTCATTGTTTGCATAAAAACAACAAAAGCACACTGAACACATAGGCTTTTTTAAGTCTGCTTTGCTGGACCTTCCACAAGGAACCTTCAGATTGACCAACTAGGCCCTTCATAGAAGCCACACTCCACAACTTCCATACAGCTTTGCCTGCAGTACTTGTATTCTTCAAGTCCTTGAGGTTCCCATCGTGTCTTAACTTTCCTCCTTGCCATCTCTCAGGAAGGCATACTGCATTCCTTCCCCAGAAAGGCTGCTGTGTACCACACAACCAAACAAGGTACCAGGACATTTCTCCAGTGGACTTTTGTTAGCTTCCAAAGTCCATCCTAGTCCCTCACAGCTTTCTGGTAACAATGATACCTGTTGTTACCATGCATGCGTCCTTCAGGCATGACACTCCAGTGAAAGTCTTGGTCATTAAAACCATAACTTGACACCAGTCTTACTGGTTCCATGCAAAGGTAATTTGATATCATTACTGATTAAGAATGCCAAATTCTA